AAACACTCTTAAAAATAATGTAACGAGAACAATCTTGTTATTCTTTTGCTTTGTTCTTCTGTTCTTTAATAGGTTTCTCTTCAATTCATACGCAAATTCAACAAGTCACCATATTTAGGCCTACTCATTGCCCAATCACAGCCTTACTAAAGTTACCATGGTTACTAATCACTCAATCACAGTTTACTAAGCATTATATCGTCATCCTTCCCCAGCTGTTGTATCTGAAATCTGTTGTAACATAGCGTGTACAGCAGACAGAAGTGTAAAACGGAGCAGACGATTGTTGGCGCAAGCGTTGTTTCGATTTCATTTTCATCAAAGGAGCTGTGATGTTTCCAAAGGGAGGGAGAGGGGATCGTTATATCAAGAGAAAGACGCTGACAATTTGTTAAGCAGAGGTTACGAACGCTCCCTATGGATATTCTGGCGATAAAAAATTCCTTAAATTAAATTGAGGTGACTTATTATAAAACTGTAATTTTATTTATATTGAAAGATAAGTTTTCCAGTCCTGTACAACACTGATTCACGGTCTTTTCCCGGTAATCAAAATTCAAGTACAACTTGAAACACAGAATCTCCGGTTCCCAACCTGGATGTTGGCTAGTTATTTAATTTAATTTACACTTACATATTAGTCCCAGTGATCAATCAAACCCGTTATGTAAGCCAAAGCCACACGGTTATTAATCTCACTTGGTTTTGCATTTGCTTACAAACGTGATCGGAAATGGTTACAAACGTGATATGGAAATGGTTAGGGCCTACACAGCATTCGTAAACAACATTTATGTAAACATATCAGTGACATCTAGAAAAAGGAATCTTTATCAAAACAGCTGTTCATAATTTCTTATATGACGTCTTCTCTTAACAGATTATTAATATTTCATAAATGACGTATGTAGTAAACATGGAGAAAATAAACTAGAAAAATCACACAAAATTAGGTTTTTGGTCGTCCGTTATTTTATTTCCAAAATAGTGAGGCTATATTTTAATGGCTATAAGGACACTCTCGCCAATCCTGTAAATACGATTAAACCTTTAAAATCATTAGAACCATTAGAATCACACAAAGAGTTTTTTATCGTCAATTTAATTCCAGAACACTAAAAATTAAGTTTCAAGCAAGAAAAATATAAAAAATGTTTAAATTATACGAATTAATTTTTTTCCTATACATTTTTTACCTCCCATCTAAATTAACCTCTTCGCAACTCGAGTCTAAACACAGACCTGCCTATGTAGACTTTTCCCTTTGTTATAGAAGGTATTTGTTTTTTTTTACACTTTTGTTCGCTTTATTTCTACAGTATATAATTTGTATTGGGTTATCTAGTTAGTAATGTTTGCTGTATTATATTTAAGTAAAGAAAAAAACAATGTACAGTACTTATATGTATATAATTAATGGGAAATAAAAAATATTATTTTATTAATTAATTTCTTTTTCTTTCATAATCAATACTCTAGTTTTCTTTAGAGTAGGCCTAAATGTCTTCTGGGCCGTGACAGACGGACATAAATTGAGACAAGACATGTTTCAACTTTTTCAATGTATAAAACGTAAAAATAACCCAAAATATGTATAATTCTGAGCAACGTACAGACAAAACAATAACTTTATTTATATTGATTAACTGGGTTCGAATTTTAAATATCTACAAAAAAATTATAAAACTTCTTTTATAGTTTTACAAATAGTGCTGGGCGGGGGAATAATGTTTCTCATTTGTTGTGTAAATCCTTTATGGGGGGGGGTTGTTGCTCGATTGGGGGGGGGGGGGGTGCGTCATGAGTCTAGGGGGGGATGGGCACCCCTGCATTTCTCATAAGGTTAACATGGGAAACTCCAGAGCCACTGGGGCGGAGCCCGAAAGGATTTTTGGGATAAAAATATGCCTATATGTTAATCGGGAATGTGAGCTATCATCATGCCAAATTTCAGCCCGATCCGACCAGTAGTTTTCGCGTTTACTTTTCCCATACACACACACAGACACCACCTCTTTTTTATAATAGTATAGATGATTTATGATCGAGTTGTTTATACCATGGGAGTTTCTCTGTGGCATTTTGTACAAACAGTTTAACATATAATTATTTTTTGCAAAAAGCTCGACAATAAGACAATTAGTCTGATTATTGCGATTACTTATGAAGGGCAGAGTTACGTGCACAATAGCACATACCATCTCATTATTTATCAATATCTTTGAGAATGCCAAGCTGCCTAAACATATCAGTGAGTGGCAGTTTTTTAATAGTTTACTTCGTCTTATGAACACGGAAAATTGATAGCCTATATGAAACAACTTTTTAGTGTAAACCCGTTTTTTATTCACGAAGAGGTTGAAGAGAAGGGTTATGATTATTGTTTGGTTCCAATTGCACCTAGCAATCAAGGCGTTACGCCTTGCCTAGCAGCATAATCAATCGATTGTTTACAAACAATGACTCGTCGAATAGTTGCATAATATATTGATTCATATGTTCATCATTAATAATCTATTGTGCCAAGTAAAGAAAACATGATCATCTCGATCTCTAAATCCTTTCCAAATATTTGATATATCAATCTTTAAAATGCAAATCTGGACCTTTTCTGCTAATGTGTTATCACTGCATTTCATTTGTTTCTATTTCAATTAAAAGTTGTTCTTTATATGAAATACGCTAACCAAAAACCTATCCTAACCGCCGCGGCGTGCTGTATGAGATTAAATTCTTGTATTTAACGTTACGAATTGCACTGTACTAATTGTGAAAATAAATTATGCGAATTTGAAATTTGAGCCTCTCGCTTCTGGCCTTATATGATTATTTAATTACTTAGAAATAAGTTAAAATTGCTCGCGAGATATTAAAATGGTTCGGTAAAACTACAGTTGGTTGAAAAATCTACTATCGCTTTTACGATCGGAGGGAGCACTAAGCCTGATTTTCGCTCTAGTGCTATGATGAGAGGTTTTAGGCCTACAGTTGCACATCTTTCAAGATGTTTCCTGCTGAATTGGGGAGGGTAAAAATAAGGCAGTAGGCCTACTGTATTTCATCTTGGGTGTTTTACTGACTAATTTATAAAGTTTACGATTATTACCGTTTAGTTGAGTCTTAAGGGAGGAAATTTGCGTGTATCCTTAATGTATCGACGTAATTTCGTTTTAACATATTCATTCTCTGAATATCAGCGCAGTTGTGTAATCAAAATATCCTATCAGTATCACTTCAAGTTGTCATATTCTGAGACGGAGACAATGAGTTTGAGAAGAGAGTTGATTTTGTTGTTGATTTGGATAGTTTATCAACAAACAAATAATCACCTGTTCAAAAGTACTTCGAACCCTTAGAATCGGGTTTGAAGAATAAAGTCAATCCATCTATTTATGTTGTGGGGAATATGTGATTTCTGTATTTTTTTTTGTTTCAATTTGTTTATGTGTTTGTAGACAAAAAATTCTACTGAGCCGCGTGGGCTGAAACTTTGCACAAAGGTAGACAGACTGTAAACCCGACAATCACCTATTTGTTTCTGTTCCACCTAATACAAAAACTAAGGCGTTTCTTCTCTAAAAATAAAAATATCATATTTAAAAATGTGCGATTTGTATCAAATATAATATTTTTCATTTATTTTTAACAGTAAAATAACAATAAATTACCTATTTACGCACACTGTATACATATAATTGAATATTTAATAGTTCAAATATGAAAACGCTAAAATTTTAAATAAATTAAACTAAAATCTTTAGGAAAGCGCACGTGGTAAAATGTTTGCAAACCACACAAATCGCCAAATTTATTTTCAGTTCACTCTATTGCCATTTGACTTACTTTTTAAGGGACGGGCCGGTTATCAGATCACCAAATCAGGAGTCTTTACATCACACATATATGTGGATATAGTATATTATTCTAGGTACAACTTCACACGAACTTCCCTATGATACAATCAATGCAGGTTACATTATCAATTCCTGTACTTCAAATAAACAATCAATATACAAGTATGAGTTTTCTCTCAGGGTCATCGAGTGCATCTTCAATTAAATTCCGCGTTAACTTTCTTCCATACGTACATCCTTACATTTATTTTGGGATTATTTACTAAAATATACTACCAGCTTAAAGTGAATACGTACAAACAAAAAGATGTTTAAAAAAATTGTCCCTGGAGTAGTCTTAAAAAATTAAAAATAACTCCTAAACGTGCAATCTTTCCTTTTTCTACAGTATAGTTATAACGTAGTATAGATATTATAACTAAAGCTTCAGTAAACAGCCATAATAATCGCTAATATAACTTAAGTGCAGTATAGTTAACTTAGCTATGGCGTTTTGTTGCAAGTGCAAGTGTTACACTTTCAACACTTATTGCAACGGCAAGTGTCAATTTGACACTTCAAACATTACTTTTACGACTATGAACATTTAAAAAAGGTTATCTCTGCCAATTGTTTAATCTAGTTTTCTGGTCGATAAAACACAAATAATAAATCGTCATAGATAAATTGGCATAGTAAGTTTTCCCCGCATAACATTGTTTATCAAAACCGTATAATGTAATTTTTACTGTTATAAAAAATATATTATTTTAAATTGCAATATTAAAAGATTATTGTAATACTAAAATATTTAACTTTAGATGATACTGACAAATAAATGTTTGTGCTTAGAATGTCGACATATTATTTCCAAGTATTTAATGGACAAATGCAGGACAAACAAATGATAGAAACTTGTTTGGTACTAACACCAATAGTGTCCTAGCGAAAGAAAAGAAAAGAGAAGAACGACATGTATTAGTCTTTATATATAGAAAATGTATTCCTTACAAATAATTCACAGATAATGCTGATAACACAAAATATTATATTGTAACAACTATAATCCTTTCCTATAATATCTTTCCCGGACAACACCAAAATTCGAGAAATAAAAGAAGGTTAATAAACGAAATAAACTGGCATAGTAAATTCTGAAATCCTCACCTCTAAGTTTATCCCTTAAATGTTCAATGTCTGAACGCTAGTCACGCTGATTGAACAATGACGTTCAATGAAGGCTCGATGTTCAATAGGACGGCGTACACAGGTGACGTTTACACTTGCTCTGACAATCTACTTAGGTTTACAGGATACTTAGCAAGTCACATCCCATCTGACGATGCTCCAGAGGTCGATGTGGTTACCATAGCAACCTAGGTGCGCGCGCATTCTAGACAAGCTTAACATATTTTCCGTTGCATTGATTAGCACTGAATTTTTTACGTTTTTAAAACAGAATGGACACAAAAACACGTATAAACAGAACAAACTATAGGAAAATGTATTTGCACATTTTTGTATATATTTTTTCTGCCATTTTATCATTTTCAATGAAAAGTTAAAAAGTTACAACTAATAGGTTTGAGGATTTTTTAGGAGGTAAAATTTGTAATTTTCTACATCTTAAGAATTTTTTACGTGTGTAAAAAGACGATGGAATCACTAAACCTTTTAAAAAGAAACATCAATTATGCGCGATACCCTAAGGACACATTAATGGCATCTGGAGCTGGAATAAATCACGCCCGTGATCGGATCTATAACAGTTTTGAAGGCGGCCACAAAAAGCACTTTGCTACCCAAATAATTTATTTTTGTAAAATATGATTATTGTTTTATTGAGTTTTAAACTCCGAAAATTTTTAGATTAAAATATATAGAGTCTGATATTTTTTTATTTACTAAATAAAATAATCATTAGGATGGTTAAAAAATAAATAAACTTAAGAAGGAGAAAAATAATCATAAGAATAGTTTACATTAGGATTTCGTAGTAGGCCTAGTTGTGTTTCTATGTTACAGACACATTTAACTTTCGCAATGGCACGATCAAAATTATGTCCGTGTTTTGTTTCTATCCAACATTCTAACATATGAATTTTGTTAGGTAGCATAATTAATTTATAGCCTAAAGATATATGGCATCTACAGGGTCTAGAAACAATCAGCTCGGGATGCAACCAATATCATTCAGATCAGAAGGCTAGCACTATTACCAGTTGATCAGCCTAAATTAAACTTTTTCAGTGCTCATTGTAGATAGTTAGGCCTATATTGAGTTTATATCGAAAATGCAATTTTTTAGTTTGTAATTTTGATTCTTAATTATATTAAAATGAGGTCTGTTTGTCGTTCATTATCACGCAAAACTCGCTGAACTTTCTGTATTCTGTATTCCTTTTTGATATTTTGATCTAGGTCTTATAACTTTTCTCCAGGGTTTCAAAGTTCTGAGACGGGGATTTAAGAAGAAAACCCTGATTACCGTCGAGGAAAAAATACACGAGAAATGGTTTTGTTGAAACAAGAATCAAATTGAAGTTATCGCGTTTGAATAAATTTTACGTGGTTACAATAAAATAATTTCCCGTTAACCATAAACATTTATATAATGGTTTAAACTGTTTTTAATGGTTTAACCTTAGGGAGTTTATTAACCGTAAATATTAAGGAAATTGTTCTACCAATCAAAAAGATAGAGAATTTAAATTCAAATCAAATGAGACCTTGTTTGTTAAAATCGCATGACAAACAACCGAGTTATCAGTTTTTTTCTACATTCGGTTTTTATGAAAATTGACATTTAAGACTTTAAATGGCCGTCATATTGAAACTGCTTGAGATATTGGAACGAAACTTTGTAAGCTCTTTTCACCTTCTAAAATACACAGTTGTACCAATTTTGAAGTTTCTATATCGAAAAATGTTCAAGGTATAAAACTCTTAAAAATCACAAACAGACCGATAAACAGAAATCTAGGCATTTTAGATCATACTTATGGCATTTTATGTTTGTCTTAGCCCAAGGAACAAGTCCACAAAATATGTCCAGACAATTTGGAAACACCCTGTATTAGTGATGATTTGGTTTGAATGAAAACCATATAACGTTAGAACCTCGTTCGATCGATGTATGACCTATTTTTCAACACAGGCCTGGAAATGGATGGCTTTGAAATCCGGACTTCCAAAAGAACGTCTGATGAGCGCAAAAGTTCGATCAGGAGACATATATATACAAGTATTTATATAAAAGTCGATGCTCTAGGTATCATAGACTTAGTTCGAAATGTCCATATTAATTAAGATCAATGTGCAATGAATTATGCAACTTGATATTTTAGTAGGCCTACATTTAAATTGGTTTATTAAATGCATTAATCTAATTGTTTCGTTGGTTATTTTTAGTTTTGAGAGTCTCAGATACAGGGGAATGCTCTACAGGGTGTTTTTTAACGCACAACCCAAATTTAAAGTACTCTGAGACACATTTTAATGACAAACAACCTTATATTTTTGGTATTCCTGTTTTGTTTACTTTATTGCCGATCAGCTGACATGCGTGTAGTTTGCATAGTTATCCATGTTAGTGTTATTGGGAATTTATTAAGGAACGCGGCAGCGTTCCGCCCCGCCAAGTCCCCCAGCGGTACACAGCTGCTGCAGTGTATATATACATGACGTGACAAAGTGGCTTTTTTACTCGTCTATAGCTCTGAAGAAACAAAAGCTATTAAAATAATTGTTCATCCACTGGATAGGGGCAATCATTCTTGGCAAAATAAAAAAAATAATTTAAAAAAAGGTTGTGTTTGAGCCAAGAAAAACTAGTTTGAAAATTCACAAATTTTCCGTGTTCTCCTTCTTCTCCTTAAATGTTGACGGACCTACAGCCCAAACCACTGGCTCAATTTTAATGTTTTTTATGTTGTTTGAAAGCCCTTAGCGTGTAGATGTGCCTTTTGAGGGTCACAAGTGGAACGCGGCAGCGTTCCGCCCCGCCAAGTCCCCCAGCGGTACACAGCTGCTGCAGTGTATATATACATGACGTGACAAAGTGGCTTTTTTACTCGTCTATAGCTCTGAAGAAACAAAAGCTATTAAAATAATTGTTCATCCACTGGATAGGGGCAATCATTCTTGGCAAAATAAAAAAAAGAATTTAAAAAAAGGTTGTGTTTGAGCCAAGAAAAACTAGTTTGAAAATTCACAAATTTTCCGTGTTCTCCTTCTTCTCCTTAAATGTTGACGGACCTACAGCCCAAACCACTGGCTCAATTTTAATGTTTTTTATGTTGTTTGAAAGCCCTTAGCGTGTAGATGTGCCTTTTGAGGGTCACAAGTCGGTGCGTTGACCCATAAACCCTTGGCAAGCCCTCAAAGTACGATTTTGGCCCATTTAAATAACATGGGATTATCAAAACAAAACAAAAGAAGGATCAGTTGCGATTAAATCTCAATTAATTTAAAATGTTAGAGAAATTCATAGGATCAGCTGAAAAATTATTTTAAAACTTTTATAAAGTATTTTTTTCAGGTATACCGAATGATTTGAGCTACTTACTATATAAAATTACTTAGAGCAGTGATATTCCCCGATACTTTCCATTGAAAAATGCAGTGTACCGATGGTACACTGGTACAGCAGCTCGTCATTTTTAACAGTTTAATACTACTTATCAAAACATATGAAACCTAGGAACTTGAAACTTAGTACTAGTACTAAGGTTAGTTTTAACATTGTTTCTTCATAATATTGCCAAAATTTATTTAACTAAATAAGGTTAGTTTTATGTTTTGATACACTAAAACAAATAAAACAATCGGGAAAATCCGTCTACGTATGTTAAACAAGCAAAAAAGTGAATGTAAAAAGTGATATGTAAATTTAGGATAAAAATGAGTTTTTCAATATTTGTTTTGCCCTATGCTATTTCTAACAAACCTAATCTGTTTGATTACATTTTTACTTCTCTAATAAGGGCTCAATTTACACTAGTCTTTAGATATACGGGTTTAATTATCGGAACACTTATGTAACACCAATGCATTTTATGTGTAGTTGTGCCCTGGTCTATATATAAGAGAAAAGAGGATTTTTATTTTAACTGTTAATTTTCTACAAAAATAAATACAATCTAACAAAAAACCACTAAGTGGTAACACTTCCCCCGCCAAGTCAGCAACCCAAAAAAGACAATAAATCACCACTTTTCCGCCAAGTAAAACAATGTAATGTATGTAAGTTTGGCCACTTGGCGGCAGACTTTTGCTTGATCACTTTAAAAAATACCATAAAATTAGTTTCATTGAGCAAGTATCTCTCCCAATAGTACATTGCTAGATGAGAGCTTATTTTACAAAATTTGACCTTATTTGTGTCACATTTCATAAAATCATAATAGTGATGGTTTTATATTTACTGATTACCTCGAAATTATTATACTTAGTTGGACTAATTAATTAGAGAAGTTGATTTGTGAAATTATCCACCAACGTAACTTTAATGAAAAAAAAAACAAGCAAAAGTCTGCCGCCAAGTTGCCAAACTTACATACATTACATTGTTTTACTTGGCGGAAAAGTGGTGATTTATTGTCTTTTTTGGGTTGCTGACTTGGCGGGGGAAGTGTTACCACTTAGTGGTTTTTTGTTAGATTGTAACTAGGAGAAGTTGTCTGTTTGCAATATTGAGCGGAGGAAGGATATCTGTTGTCTGTTTTACGTAAATGGGATGTCTAATGTCTACTCAAAGTATCCAAAGCCAATGCTGGTTCATGTTTGAGATGTCTACTTGTAGTATACTCAGTGGTAAATCTAGTTCACACAAATGACATGCCTTTTTGCAGAAAGTCAATGAGTTATATGTTTCTCTTATTATAAAATTAAATGAAAGTAAAACTAAATGTGTCACATTCAAAACAAAACGAAAACAATTCCAATCTTAATATTCAGGTAAATAACCAACCAATTGAAATAACAGACACAATAAGGTTCCTTGGTCTGACTTTGGACAGTATTACTTGTTTTGGGACCAACATTCTAAACTTTTTAAAATTAAATAACCTCCTGTCTTTTTGGGATAAAAAATGTCAAAACTATGCAGTATTGAAGTTGTAAAAATGATCTATTCTTCCCATATGCAACCCCATATGTCATATATATTATATGGAGCTACCTCAAAATCGAATCTAGACCAAATTTTGACATACAGAAGCAAACCAAAGTTCCTAACCAAAGCTGTTTTAAATTTGTAGTGGATTCCAACTCCAAGTTTGTCATACCAATTCAGAAATATGTAAAATCCAAGTTTAGGCCAAGCTCACGTGCTGT